GACAAAAATAAGAGGAATGCTTTTGGTCCTCGTGATATTTTCTAAGTCTTTCAGGCTTCACTGTTAGAAATTGGCTCCGAAATTTTATGGAGAAGAACCCTATAATCGCGTTCATGGAGACTCCATTCATTTTCCATCTTTTTTCGGAGAGATTTTTCTAGGGCTTAACAGATGTTCTTCGGAGCATTACTAGGGTCCTCCTGATGGGAGGTAAAATGCATGTCTTTTCTCAGATATGTTAAAGAGGGCTTCGCTGAAGCATTCTTTAGTCTGAAATGGTCAAAGAAGCGAAAATTTCCTTCGAACTCATTTGAATTATATCCTGTACCCTTAAGGGTGCAGTAGCGTCATTTGCACGTATTTTGACGATTTTCGAACCTCCTGTTCAGACTTTAATATAGAAATAAGTATGAATGCCAGAGACAAACGGCAGGCACCATTTTAAGGAGGAAATTTTTTACAACATTTTCAAAAAAAAATAATTTTGTTTTGAACGCTCATCTTCAACTTGATATTGAAACGAACCACATTTTTTCATGCCCAATATTGAAACCCAAACCCGAGGGTCATTTTATGGGCAATTTCATGCTTTTTCAGATGATAAAGCAGATAATGCAGATGATCAGCAATCGGAACTTATTTTATACCACCGAAACCGAGAAAATACAGGAGCGGCTCCGAACGCGTAGTGGGCTCTCCGCGAGGCCCCGGCCTACCCCCCCCCCCCCCCCCCCCACACACACACACACACTCACCCTTGCTCGTCCCACCCAGAATTTCTCGTCACTTCACTTGTTGATGTTGCTCTCACTGGGATCGTTATTGTTGGTGTTCGCTTTGGGGTAATTCCACGGAAGCGAATAACACCTTTTCGGCGCAACCTCACCAAAAATACCCCTATGTGCCCTGCTCCTGCTAGCACCAATAATGGCGGAAATCCCCCTCCCGCTCATGTAAACCATGATGCACCTGCAGCAGCCCTTGTGCGACCCGGACACCGGACTCCAAATCTGGTTACTCTAGATAAACTCCTTCCTTGTACACAGACGCCAACAACAACGACGACGACGACGACAACAACAACAACAACACACAGACACAAAGGCAAATGCATATGCCCCCCCCCTATTTTTAGCAGATGATACCTTTACGACTAACGCGACTTTAAAACAACGTACAATACAAGACATTTAAAGGTGTCAGCTAGCTTTTACTCTCGAGTCCAGAAACCAAGGCTGTATCCTAACAATAATAGGGGCTGGCTGCCCGGGCGGGATAGTGAGTGAGTGGTCCGCAGCCTGCGCGACGCATCGACAAGTCCTCCCCCAGGTACAGCGCCAGCGGCACCGGGCGCAAACAATGGCACCCCCTCCTCGCGCGACAATCCCTCCCCGCCTGCCACGGAGCCCGCATGCTACCCCGTATAAGAAAACAAAACGAGTATCATGTGCTTTCATTAACGTTCGTTTAATGAGATTTTTTAAACAGAAGGGCGGGCCAAAAATCAGCCCGCGCGGCAAGCGGGTTGCCTACCTGCCCCTTAGGGGACTGCCATGCAACAAGCCAATCTAGCATGAAAAAATGGTGTAAATTCCGACAAAGACATGCTAGTGTGCTGAAATTTTGGGATTGGGCAAGGTTTGTGCTGTAGAGTCTTGCCTCAAAAATCCCAAAGCGTCCGTGGACCGGATCGACCGTTACACTCGTTCAGTGTTAAAATCGTTGTCAAAATGTAAGGCTTTTGAACGCCCACCGTAACTTTTTTTCAGTAAGGCCTAATTCACTGGGGTTTGTTTTATTGAATGCATACTAAGACGCCCTACAACAATTATAATGATCTTTTTTGTGATACGAGCTCAAGTATAGTCGCTACAGAAGGTCAGAGTTGGCAAAAAGTGCATTTTTCGCTGTTTCGGGCCTCGTTTCCCACTATTCCGGCCCTTGTTCGCCGACTTTGGCCTATTGTAGCGACTATACTTGAGCTCGTATCACAAAACAGGTCATTATAATTGTTGTAGGGCGTCTTAGTATGCATTCAATAAAACAAACTCCTGTGAATTAGGCCGTACCGAAAAAAAGTTACGGTGGACGTTCAATAGCCCTACATTTTGACAACTGTTTGACAAATGTTCCTCTTTTCAACTGCGTTTGGGTGGTTCAAGGGTTTTGTAGGTGAAGTTCATGTGAGAAACCCGAACGTCAACAATTGGTCTAAAATTTGCAAAAATAATTACCTTTTTGGCCCGCCCTTCTATTCAAAAAATAGTGGGGGGGCCTATGCATTTGCCTTTGTGTCTGTGTGTTGTTGTCGTTGTTGTCGTTGTTGTTGGCGTCTGTGAACAAGGAAGGAGTTGGGCTAGAGTAACCAGATTTGGAGGGTACGTCAGGAGTACCGCCAAACAAATAATCCGGTGGTGCAAATCCCGTCCGGGTCGCACAAGGGCTGCTGCAGGTGCATCCTGGTTTACATGAGCGGGAGGGGGATTTCCGCCATTATTGGTGCTAGCAGGGCACATGGGGGTATTTTTGGAATCGGGGCGACGAGACAAGATGAATGGACCTGGTCCCGTCCCCATCGGCCGCTTTTACAAGTTGGCCAGATCAAGATCTTCAAAAAAGGGGGTCGACCGACTAAAAAAATTCATTGCAGATTTCGATTGGTCTCAGCAAGACCTTTTCAACGAGGGGTCGGAAAGGGCGTCCAGGAGCCCGACTTCGTCTATTAGTCACATCAAGATCTTGAAAAAAGGGGGTCGACCGACTGAAAATTTTTACTTAAGTTTTGGATAGGTCTTGGCAAGACCTCTTCAACGAGGGGTCGGAAGGGGGTCCAGGAGCCCGCCTTCATGAGTTATGGGAAAAAGTGCGACGTACTCGTTTTGCGCTCCTGCTGGGCCTCTATTGCAAGGAGTTGCAGTAGCATGGCAAATATGGATATTTTCGGAATGAGGGCTAAGAGACAAATGAAATGGGCATATTGTAAGGACAGTTGGAGTAAAAAGTGTAAGGACTTTTGCACATTGTGAATAGAAGGGCGGGCCTAAGTCACGATGGTACATCGATAACTTTGCTTTACCCGCTCACGGGGTGTGTGATGCGAGCGGGCCGAAGGCCCGGGCCTTCGACTGGCCAAGTTGGGTCTGATGCGAGGGCCGAAGGCCCGAGGAAAGGCCGCCGGCAGGCCAAGCTGGGCCGGCCCCCTGTCGAACCGAGTTGCCGGCGCACAGTGGAGCGAAACGCCAAAAAATGCGACATCGTGCGACATAGAATTATTTTCCGATCCCTCAGCTTTTTTCACGGCATATGGTCATTTCATGATGTTATCTAGTAAAAGAAATGATTTCCTGGTATTGGCTAGGCTTATAGAGCAAAAAATCGCGAAAAACACGAAAATTTTGTATCAAAATGTGCCATTTTTTACACGTTTTTTGCCCGTAAAACTGTCAGTTTTTCGATTCTGCAACTTTTCTCAACAGATTCTGAAAGCTAAGGACAAGGCCTACAACTTTTGTTATGGTCGCAACACTGTAGCGAGGTCGGCTCTTCGAGTTTTTTGGCCTCAAAGGTTTTCCCTATAATAAATTTTATTGAAAAATTATTCCTATTTTGACAAATTTAGGTATTTTTGTGCCCTTGAGGTCTGTGTTGCCTCGCTACATCTATTTCCGGTTCTTATTAACTCGATCGGATGAATTGAAACTGGTTGGGATGTAAAGCGGACTGCAGGGGCACAAGAATACCTAAATTTGTCTAAATAAGAATAATTTTCCAGTGCAATTTATTATAGGAAAAACCTTTGAGGCCAAAAAAGTCGAAGAGCCGACCTCGCTACAGCGTTGCGACCAAAACAAAAGTTGTAGGCCTTGTCCTTAGCTTTCAGAATCTGTTGGAAAAAGTTGCAGAATCGAAAAAATGTCAGTTTAACGGGCAAAAAACGTGTAAAAAATGGTACATTTTAGTACAAAATTTTCATGTTTTTCGCGATTTTTTGCTCTACAAGCCTAGCCAATACCAGGAAATCATTTCTTTTACTAGATAACATCATGAAATGACCATATGCCGTGAAAAAAGCTGACAGATCGGAAAATGATTTTATGTCCCACGATGTCGCATTTTTTGGCGTTTCGCTCCACTGTGCGGCGCAGCGAAGCGGAGCTGGCAACTCGGTTCGACGGAAGGGCGGGCCCTAGCTTGTTAGCAACTTCAAAAATGTGCACAAGCCAAAGTAAGGGGAATTAAGGTGTGGGGTTTGCGGCATTCGACTCGGGATGAATAGCAGAAAAATAAGATAAAATAAAAAAGAAGGCAAAAATTTGACGATTTTCACTGGTGTGCCCCCTTAAAGTTAACGGCCATTTCATTACTAGGCTTGAGTGATTTTGCGTACAGAATTTTTTTTTGTACTATCTTCGAGATCAGCACCTCTTACAACGCCTTTTTATCACGATGCCTCGAAACATTCTTTCCATGACTGATGATAAATGTTTGCCATTGAAACTGTCTTGAAACTTCTTAGATAAAATGTTACTCATAACAATACTATTCCCGTAATTTAGAGGAACAAAATAGAAGTTGCTGAAAAGCGTGCACAGCGTAGCTGAAGCGGCACTGTGGCAAAAAGGTACGGAGTTAATTTTTTTGCCAGGATTCTCCGTTGCCCTCTTATCAATATTCTCCGTAGGACCGCACAGTCTTCTCCGTAGGGCCTGGAAGAGTGTATAGTCCTACGGAGAACACTGTTAGGTTCTACGGAGAATACTGTGCCTCAGAACCACCTTTCGTTGAAATGTAGGGCCCTAACCACACACTTGTGGTTTTCACCACGGTTTTTATATGTAACGATGCTGACCACTGATTTTATGGGGTATTCATCGCATCTTTACGTTTGGTAATTAAATTCGGGTAACCGCAGTTTAGCGCATCCCGCACATTACCTGCAGACTGTGCCACACCTTAAAGGTCATTGCAGGAGTGCAAGTGAAACTTTATCTTTTAAAAAGGGACCCTTCCGTGTGATCCCGGACCACTTCGAAAAATGCCCACCGCATATGCGTCCGAATAAAACGTTCTACAAGCACCATTACGTCGGTTGGAGAGACAGAAAGAATCCGGATTTGTGGTTTTATTCGTGGAACGGAACATCGTACTTCGAAGTAAACGACGACCTCACGGTTAGTGGGCTTCGTTCGTGGTAAATGGCGAAGCATCAAGAACCTATAAAGCCCCAATCCGACTGACTCACTGACTCACTGACTCACTCACTCACTCATAGAAATGTTTGGGGTGAAGGAGTGGTCGTAGAGACTTGCGGTTTTTTCCATTCAATTCCAAATTTTATGGGAAAATTGGGAAAAATCCCAAAAGTTGAAAATTCCTCACCGTTTCCGAGAAAACCTACTTTATCTTCAAAAAAGGGGAACAAATTTCTCACCGTTTCCGAGCAAACCTACTCAATCTTCAAAAAAGGGGACCGACCGACTGAAAATTTTTATTCGTCCTATCGGTAGGTCTGGTCGAGACATTTCCGAAACTGTGCCGCAATCGGGTCCCCGTCACCGGCAACATCCTCAAAACGATTAAATAGGCCTAAATTCAACAAAATCCACTCAATCTTCATAAAAGGGGACCGACCGACTAAAAATTTTTATTCGCCCCATCGGTAGGTCTGGTCGAGACATTTTCGAAACTGTGCCGCAATCGGGTTCCCGTCACCGGCAACATCCTCAAAAACGATTAAATAGGCCTAAATTTAAAAAAATCCACTCAATCTTCAAAAAAGGGGACCGACCGACTAAAAAATTTTATTCGCCCTATCGGTAGGTCTAGTCGGGACATTTCAGAAACTGTGCCGCAATCGGGTCCCCGTCACCTGCAACATACTCAAAATCAATCATCAATTGTCATCAAGAACCTGTAAAGCCCCAAAATCCGACTGACTCCCTCACTCATCAATCAAGAACCTATATAGCCCCAATCCGACTGACTGACTGACTCACTGACTGACTTACTCACTCACTCATAGAAATGTTGGGGGTCAAGGAGTGGTCGTAGAGACCTGCGGGTTTTTCCATTCGATTCCAAATTTAATGGGAAAATTGAGACCAATCTCAAAAGTTAAAAATTTTTCACTGTTTCCGAGCAAACCTACTCAATCTTCTAATAACAGGAAAAGTAGCGATATACATCGGCAACTTTGGCCCGTCCCGTACATTAAGAAACTTACGAATTTCTCCTATGTTTGACCCTGACGGGAATTAAATCTGAGTCTGGGGTTAAAATAAATGTCGTTTTCGTCATCAGCACTCTCATAAACATCAGAAACAATGCTAAAACTCGAATAAAAAGAATGTTCCAAAAATACCCCGCTGGGATTTGAACCCGGGTCCGAACTTCTCCGATTTGCTCGAAACTGGCACCATTGGTTTTCTCTCGTCGCCCCGATTCCAAAAATACCCCTACATGCCCTCCTAGCTGCATCCGTTGCCGAGATCCTCCTGGACCCCATGTAGACCATGATGCACCTGCAGCAGCGCCCCCGGGGCTCGGATCGGATTTGCTGCCACCGGGCGGTTCTTAGGGTCACCCAAGGAGGCTGCGTACCAAATTTGGTCAAGATCGGACCACGGGAAGTCCTCGGACGAACGAACGGACGCACAGCATGCATCATACTATATGCCCGTCCCTCCGTCATTTTTTTACAAAAAATAAACGGGACGGGCCAAAAAGGGGACCGAATGACTAAAAATTTTTATTCGCCCCATCGGTAGGTCTGGTCGAGAATTTCCGAAACTGTGCCGTAATCGGGACCCCGCCACCGGCAATTGGGCAATCATCATCAAGAATCATTATAGCCCCAATCCGACTGACTGACTCACTCACTTACTCACTCAAAGAAATGTTTGGGGTCAAGGAGTGGTCGTAGAGACCTTATGTTTTTTTCCTTTCACCTCTATCCTTGTCAAAGCTGTCTTCAATATTTTCCGGACCTTGTATGCACCCATTGACTGCCACAGTAGCCAATGCAATACAAGCTATCTATTTGGGCAGTAAAAGTAGCCTTATTATATGGTCAAAAGCGGTTAAATAGAGCTTTCAAAGAAGCAGGACATTTACCTCCTTAGAAAATTTGCCTTTGGTCACCATGGACTTACTGAAAATACTTCGGCACGCGCTCCACACATGCGGGGGTCTGGGGGCGGAGCCCCCAGCGAGCAGCGCGAGTTGTCTTTGTAACCTTCTTTTCACTCAAGACTCCTTACACACTGCAAACCTGTCAAACGCATGCTCGACGCATGGAGTTATACGGCGACAAGCATGCGTTTGTGTGTACTTGGCCAAGCATGCGTTTGTAAGTGTGTACTTGCAAGCATGCATTTGTAAGTGTGTACTTAGTAGACAGTTAGGTTTGTAGTGCACTGCGAGAAAAAAGCACGGAACGTTTCTGGTCAATAATTTGCCTGGACCGTCCGTACCTGTCGTACTACGGAACTTCTGTACTATTTTTCCGTACAAGATTACATGAGTTCTTTTCAGACTTGTTTCAGACTGCTTGTCTGAAAATTTAGTCTTTCGGTATGAAAATTGTGACCTAAGCGTCTTACGACGGATGAAATCATCCGTATTACAAACGAAGTCCATCCGAAATTACAATTGCACAAAATGTCCGTGCTACACTCTACAATAAATGTCCTGTCAACGCCGTTTATTTATTACCAATGTTTGCTGTTATGCAATTCACGGCGTTTGCTGTGAACTAGTTCACGGCGTTCACTGTGATCTCGGTTACAGTGTTCACTGTGATCTGGCCACAGTAATGCTTTGCAGTAATTTGGTGCTTAGCGGCGTCAAACAACTCACAGTGTATACTGGGGACCAGATCACAGTGAATCGTGTGAGCAGATCACAGTAAACGCTGTGAATTGACCTACAGTGAAAACTGGTAATAAATTAACGGCATTTACAGGACATCTTTGGTAGAGTGTATGGGTCGCTTTCGGGACGCTTTAAGGTCGTTCCCCTGTTGACTAGGTCGCTTTTGGTACGCATGCAGTGAGACTGGCACGCTTTTAGTCATCGGAACAAGGAAGACTGGTTCGCAACACTGTGAAAATTTGTTGTCACTTTATGACAAAAACATGGATGACATTTTCATCACTTCCAAATCATGACAATCTCATCACAAATTGATGACATTTTCATCGAAGGTCCCATACTTTATGCATGGGTGTGACAAAAATGTCATCTAAATTTTTGATGACATCGTTGTAAGGAAAATTAGCCTTGAAATTGTCATCAAAATTCGCGTAGTGACCACATCCAAATGGGTTGGCCTTAGCAGTTGGGGATTATCTTTTTTAACACGGTGGGATTTGAGCTAGCTCGACCGTTGCCCTGTGAAACTCGCAGTGTCCGGAATTACCCCCTGGCCGGATTAGACCCACTCCCTTCAGTACTGATATTTTATGTAGCTTATACCCGACTATAAACTAACAGTTTTACATCCTAAACTCTGTCTGACGGTTTTCAATTTCCAGGTCGATGTTAACATAGCATCCTGGAGTGCTCGGGGTGGCTGGAAGGACAATGCGTATGTTTTCTCGTTTCAAAGGTGTTGCACGAAGGCCCGCACTCTGGCCCCTACTCTCTGGCGGAGGGCCATGGTGGCTTTGTTTGACGACCCCAGTCGCGCCTGCCCGTTTCCTCCGGTACGTTTTCATCCTCGTTGCATTCGAGGGGTGAATCACCTGTGTATACATGTGTACCAGTTGGACCGTACCCATTGTACTCACAATCGGGAGGGGGGGCGGAATAGTATAGTGAATTTTCGAATTATTTCATGTTTTTCAGCCATCTATTCTTACATATTGGTCACCCTGACATGAAAATGGACATCACCATTGGATTCTCCATGCCTTTTTACCATTTTACCATCTTTGGTTGCGGGTCTGGTGTTCTGTTTTTTAGGATTCAGGATGGAAGGCGGCTGGCGGTGGTCGGCCGACTACCTGACTCTGGCCCGAAGTCCGGGCGAGGGAGGCGTGACTCGAGAGTCCCCCAGCCTTTTGTCTCTTTGTATTTATAATGGCCGTAGAAAAGTCTCAGAAATTTTAAAAATTTCTGCAAACTGAACGCTTATTTGGACTCACGAGAAAAAAACGACCCAATTTGAAACAAAGTTGAAGGCTGTGTCATTATTTTTAGTCAATTTAAGGGGGGACCCTGGTGAAACTTTCAAGTAGGCTTCAAAATAATCCCAGAAAGTTGAAACTTTGCTTTATTGAGGTTCATTATGGTGAGTTCCCAAAACAAAATTCAATTCAAAATGTTGAACGGTCTCTGAGAAAAGTGGCTTTTTAGTGTTTTTTGGAGCGTTGGGGAAAAATCTTCCTGCGTCTTTCATTGGGACGGAAAGTCTTGAAAAAATTTTTGGGTTATCCTAAAGATGTATAGAAGAGATTTTAGTGACGGAATTTTCAAATTCAATTTCTGTCCTGAGATATGAGTTTTCAAATTTTAACATTAAAAAAAAGTGATTTTTTTCCCTTTTTTCAAACTTTAAGGTGTGTTTTAAAAAAAGTAGGGCTGATATCATGATTCCGTCACTAAAATTTGTCGACAAGTCATCAATGAATAGAGTCCTTGCAAGACGACTCATGTAGGTGTCAACCAGGAACGCAGGAAGTCTTTCTACGACAAAATTTTTTGTCGACTGAGCAAAGGTGTGAAGTTGAGCGTAGAAGACAACGACAACTGATCTCAATGTTATTTCCTTCCATATGATAAAGAAACTACCCACTTAGCTTAAAGATGTTCGACCTGTTGAATTTGAAACCTTCTATGCACATTTTTATCTATGAACTTTAAAAATACTATTTTTTGGAATTTTGGCGATTTTTTCACCAGGGTTCCCCCTTAAGTTTTGGATCGTCTTTCCCTAAAACCCGTCAAAATTGTCGTAGCGACATGCCGTTTGCACAACCCTCCATAAAATGTTATTAACGTTAAACAACAAGTATTAGTTTTATTTTGAGTTCAAAATTGAAGTTTCGATTTGGTGCAACAGTTAAAAGGCCATTATCATTCCTCAGCCTCTTGTTCCAACTGCGAGGGTCGCGTTCCACCCGCAGAAAGGGGCGGGGTCCGGGGGCCCGTGTCGAGGGGTCCAGGACGGGCCAGGTCAGAAATGTTGTTGCGGTAGCTGGGGAGAGGCGTAGCAAGGCGACAAACATTGCCGAGCCGCCTTCCATCCTGAATCCTAGTATAGATATCCTGCGCGCAAGGTCAAAAATAAGCTACCGAGAAAAAACGGTTTAAAGTTACAGGGCTTAACCTCACAGTGATTGTACGAATCAAAAGCTCCCTTTGCCGATTTGAGGGTGCTGTGGGTCGAAATATGGTCAGGTTTGGTTTTACCAAGGCCCAAAGAGTCGAAAAAGAAAGCAAAATCCGAAAGTTGACTTTCTCCACTTTACGCCTTCTTAAAAAGTGCAAAATTCGGTCATTTTAACACGATGTGGCGTTGTGTATCGTCTTAACCTGTCAATAAAGCCAGAAGAACGTTTGAAAAGGTGAAATGTATGTGTAACGCAAGGTGTACTCACCTGTACTCATGTTTGGGCTTCACGATGTCAAGATGTCTCAAATGTGCATGAGTGCATTGGATGGTAGGGTAACTCCGTGCGTACACGGAAAAAAACATTCCTCAGTTGTGACAGCTAATGCATTCACTGATATTGGGCCAGCGAAGAATTATCAGTCGTGGTAACAGACAACGTGGTAACAGCAGCGTCAGCAATCACGCCTGGTCACGACAACTAACCACATTTGTTCTGGTGGCTTATATCCCTCAGTCACAAACGCTATTAAATTTTTACTTCGCGAAAAATACTGAGACAGGAATAGAACCTCTGAGACTGCTGGCCCAGAATCTCGCTTGGAGGCACTGAGCCACGAAAGCGAGGGGGTATTCACTTCGAAAACTGGCGCACAGAGTAGTCGCTATTACGCTTATTACAATTATTACGCGTTATTACACATTATTTTACATTATTACACATTATTTTGCATTATTTTACATTATTACACATTATTACAGGATTATTACAGGATTATTACAGTCATTATTACGGTCGTTTTTGACCGAAAGGGAAGCCCAGCACCACCTCCCCCTCCCGTGTTAGCCATTCAACTGTAGTTTTTCATATTACAGAATGCTGTTACTTACATGCTACTAAAATTTTAAGTTTGTTTGAATGGGCAGAGAGATTTCGATGGATTTTTTTTCCAATACCCCACCTTACCGATAGGATTTCTAAAGATTTTCAGGAGAGCATGATTTTACTATTTTGTCCAATAATCAGCAGAGGAATTTTAACCAAAATTTATTTTATTCTAAATTTTGTTTCATATTTGTTGTAAGGGTGTAACCAAGAACAGTGAGTTTCAATGAAAAAGCTGCGTACGGATAGTAAACCCCTCACTCAGCTTTTCTATGAGCTTTCTCTTTGTTTCCTTGAGAAGGTTTTTTTTTTTTTTTTTTTTAGCTTTCCCGCAGCGGCAAATATTCTTGGCAACCTTTCTTGCTCTGATCCAAGTGTGCGCAGCCTCATGGAATCAGCCACTCCACCGTGCCGTTTCCCGCCAACATGAACATCGGGGAGTGGGGGGAAGGGGTAGGGAAGGGTAGGGGAAGACGGGGGAAGACAGAAAGGATGGCGGGACCACCGGAAGGGTAGAAAATATTGCTGCACAGAGTAGCAAATTAAGACCACTTTCATTTTGTAGCCAATATGATCCAGGAAGCGGAAGAAGGGGGTAAGTCGAGTTGAATCCGTGCACTTTTGCAAGGCCTAAACCTTGCAGGTGGAAGGACAGGTGGGGAATATCATCTAAAAATAGATGCAAGAGTATGGGACGTGCCTCGCCACACTTATTTTTGGACCAAATTTTCGCTCATGTTTACTTGATAGACTGATAAGAGGTCACTGAATCAACTCGACTTAACCCCTTCTTCCGCTTCGTGGATCATATGTGCCAAAATTTCAGTACAAAATGCGTACATTACGCATTATTACGTGTTATTACACGTTATTGCACATTATTACACATTATTTTGCATTATTCTACATTATTTTACATTATTTTACATTATTACACATTATTACGCGTTATTACCCATTATTACAGGCATTATTACGGCCAAGGTGAACAGACTATTACAGCAGTGAATACCCCCTCGCACGAAAGCATGTGTTCTAAACGGATGGCCTACCCCAATGTCACTCCGGGCGGAAAGCCCAAAAAATACTTTCCAACTATGGTCGCAGTTGAAGTTAATCTTCCAAGGGACTGCAAGATTGACTGCCCCTGCCGGAAATCCATCGGCGATTCGACGTCGACTCGACGTCGAAGATCGATGGTCGATGTTGGTCGAAATAAAGATCGACATCGACGAAAATATGTCACGGATAAGTTACCGACGCTATGGCGATGTCCATTCGACGTCGAATCGACATTGATGACAAGGGTGCTGCAAAGATGCTCGGACTAATGAAAACAGAGGGGTGACGTAGGCACCGATAGCAACGCACTGTGCCTCTGACTGAAAGGGTTTCTGGGGGTTGATTCTGTGTGGCAGCTGTTAAACGTAATCGGTACTCTCTATCAAAGAGCGTTACCCAGTCAAGCTGCCGGGCAGGTAAAGGCCACCAAAAATTGGAGGCACCGAAGTCCGCTTGTACAATCCTATGCGGACTTCTAGAACACACGCGAGCATAGTCTTCGTCCTACCTACCCAACCTGAATGCGCAACGACACTGTCACCGCGAGCGGCGCGCCGCCAAACGATCACAAAGTTATCTAGCGGCGCAGTATTGACGCCGTCAACACGGCAGGAAACGTCGAAACGATGGCGAATCGACTTAGAAATCATTTTGGTTCACTTTTTGTGCTTCATCTATTTTTTCGCACTGAAATATCGTGGGATAGCACAATACGGGAACAGTTAAGGTAACTTGGGTCATTTTTACGAATGTCGGTACGAGGCTGAAATTTCGATCTCATATCGAGTCGACCAAGTGGCGACGTATCATCGTCGAGTCGACGTTGAATCACCGATGGATTTCTGACTGGGACGACTATGCTGAAATCCTACCGCATATGAGGTTGCGGCGAGGTCGGAGTGTCTTGCCGACCCGAACCGCTAAAGGTCTGCATAGGCCTAGCAGCGCTGATGATGATAATGATGATGATGCAGCTAAGGTAAAAAATCAATTGTGGGTCACGAATCAACTGTGGGTCATTTTTTTTCGCCGGGTAACCGCAGACATAATGGGGATTGAATGGATTTGAATTTCGCGGTAGACCTTCCTCCAACCCTTCTTTGTCTCCCCAAATAGCGTGTATGTCCGAGCGACGACTGTAACGGCTCCTATCAGGCTTCGAAGGGAGGCCCTTCAAAAAGTCGTGAAAATGGCACCTACCCAACAAGGCGAAAAATCGTTTTTTTTTTTTTTTACAAATTGCTACCGTGAATCTATTACGAGATGAAACGAGACGCCTTTGCTGATTTAGGTACATAATAGGTCAGGGAACATGAATTGACCATAGTACAGCCGAAATCATTCGATGCCATGGTGCGCGGGTGATGGCAATGTAGCGCTCGCTACCATGTCAGACCCATTATTTTAGACGGAATTTCATGATAGTTTTTCCGTTTTTTTTTATTTTTGGTGCTTCTGAGTGACTGATGTATCACAGTAAATTCTATTTTTCTGTTCTGTCACACTTAGTACTACGATACGAAAGTTATGTTAAGCTTAGGCTGCAGCCCCGAATGACAACGCTAGCTCAGTCTGCCGTAAGGGTTTTTTTTGTTGGGGAGGGGGCGCATCGCGGGGCTTACATGGGTAGCGCCCGGAAGGGGACCGCTCTCAACAGCAGGCTTGGCACCTGACGCCAGTACGGTCCACGAGTCTAATCAATCCCTACAGACTAAATATTCTGACTGAAATAGATAATATACTGTAGCAATACCTCACGATGACAGGTCGTTGTGTTGGATTGTCTATCACGCCGGCGGTTTTGTCACGTCCGTTTCAACGTGATGTCCCGTTTCTGAGTGTGTCCCAGTGTCATAAGCCTGTTTATGTAGTTTTCCTCTTGGTGCCTGCTTGGTTTATTGAGAACCAGGGGCCTTTGATTAATGAAAATAAGAAAATATCTTGCAAAAGTGGTCAATTTACAAGCAAACACGAAATGGCCCACAATTGATATGACCCACAATTGATTCACTATGCTATAGATCCTGCAATTTTTACGATTCCGAAAAATAAATTCAAAAGTGAAATCCTCTTGCATTTAAGCAAATCATATCCAAATTTGAGCTTCCTACAATGTTGACCCACAGCTGGTTCCAGAAATCAATTGTGGGCCAAAACAGACTATTTTTAAAACAGCGGCAGCTTAGTAAATAAAGATGATAGACGGGGCTTTTATGTTTCAAAACTTAGTCCAAGGACCATAGTTAAAGGCCCCACATGCACTTTCGTCACCAGGTCAGAAGTAAAGGCCTTAATTTGGAGTTTTCAAAAATATGACCCACAACTGATTTTTTACCTTAGTTCAAGAGAACATCACAATAAGTTTTTAGTTTTAGAAGATGTGCGAATTTTGGTCAGGATTTCAGACAGGTTTCTGACATCCTGAAAAAATTAACACGAGTGTTCTTCGTAATTAACACGAGTGTTCTTTGTTTTTGCTATGTTTGTCATCCTTATCATCATGACTGCACTGGGGCATAGAGCTTCGGGGAATTCTGTAAACGACTTATGCGAACCATAGGCATTCAAATTTTGCCTTAGTGTCCCCCACGCCCTTCTCACAGAACAGCCGTGCCATCATTACTACGTTCACCAGCCCCTTTTCCTCACCTTCGTCGTTCTCATTATCACTCTTACACAACATGACTTGAATTTTGCAGGGATCATACTCTGTCCACAACGTGTCCAGCGACATCGACTTCGACGTAAAAGCGGTGCCGGCGTTCTACTACGGAAAATGGCGTGCAACCGGGAAGTTTTCGCGGACCTCGACGCGGGAGCTAATGGGGTGTGCTAGAGCTTTTGCGTCCACTGTGCCCAAACTGAGCTCTTCGGTTGGTCCGCATCACATCGAGTCCACAGATTGAACAAAGAAGATCAAAGAAGCCGAAGCTTCTGCTCGTCAAATTTCGGTTCAATCTCGACGGGTCCCAATGAAAAAAAAAAAACGATCTCCAAACGACGCGCCAAGAAAGTTTGATCGCCTATGGCCAAGCAGAGTCTGCGAGTGTAATTGAATGTTCAATGTTCTGGGCACGGCGAAATAAAGTCAAAACCATCGTAGAGCGCGTACACCTGTACACAGCACGCCTAGAGTAATCTCAAACCGTGTAGGGGATAAAACCGTTCAAAGTATGGGCACGGTAGTCCGCCCGCCCCCAACAGGCGTGTTTGGCGGGCCTGCATAGTCGGGTTTGTGCAGGAGCTCTACCGTGCCCATACTTTGAACCACTATTTCTCCTAAACGGTTTGAGATTACAACTCTGGGCGTGGTCCCATTCGATTCAGCGCGTCATTTACTACAACACTGGTAGAACTCAAGCGTGCTTTTACGCCTTTCTTCAAGCGTAGTAGAACTACGCTCGGCTTCAAGCGCAGTTCTCCATTTCGCCCCTCTCCCGCCTATCTAAATGCATGGGAAGATTTCTTCTCTACACTACAAACCTAACTGTGTACTTAGTACGCAGTTACAAGTGCGTACTTGTCCAAGCATGCAATAGAATCTGCGTACTCATCCAAGCATGCATTTGCAATTGCGTGCTTACCAAGTACGCACTTACAACTGCATGCCTGGCCAAGTACGCGTTTACAAATGCTTGCTTGCCCAGCACGCAATAATAGGTGCTTGCTTGGGCCATGCATGCAACATTCTCAAGCAACAAGAGCTTCTTTGGAAACACATCCAAATTGAAGATTTAAGAAAAGTGTTTGCCACTTCATGTACGGTTTGCAGGCATCAGATCCCAGAAGCTGACAAGTTCTATTTTAAACAGGATTTTACAACTTGAGCAGCACAGGTTTCAACCTTTAAATTACCTTGTTGGTCTCCATCACTTTCACCACTCATGATGGAATCCAAAGCACTGTCGGATGCAATCCTTTCAACTTGCATGTCGGTGTGGTTTGGTGTCGCCCAGCTGAACGGAGGATAACTTTCTGAGGTGGCCACAAACAAGTCTTCTGTAATCTTGACACACACATCATCGTCCCTTACAACTGACATCTTTCTTTTCACGGCGCGATTATCAAACGAAACCAGGCGTTGCATGTAAATGTCACTGAAACTGTCAGTGGAATCACACGTAAAACACTCGGCGATCACAACAAACGACTTCAAGCCTGTTGCCATTTTCGGGGATAAAAAGCAAAAAGAAAGACAAAAAATACGATTTCAAGAAATCCTAGGAGTCACGAAGTCAATTTGATTTGTGTAAGAGTGTGGAGAAAGAAAAGAAGTGGTGTTGTGAAGTTGTGGCTCAGGGCAGTGGTACCAATGTGGTCGATGTGCCACCCGTCGAAATTTAAACTTCACAGTAAATAGAAATCAAAATGCTGGTAAATTCAAAAAGTTGCAATGCTAATGTATTCCGCAGTGTTCTGACAATGGAACATCTTTAAAGTCCATCATTATTAAGGGGAGGTTCTACTGAAAAAATGGCACTTTGCAAATTGAGCCCCAGTGTTAACATTTGTTGCATATGTGTAGTACTACATAGTTAATAGTCAAACATGAAATTTAGAGCCCAATACCTCCCTCCAAATCCAGTCGAAGAGGTTTTTTCAGCCTATTTTAGGAATATCTTAAAAAATTCTCCTACGCACAGTATTTCAACGTAAACTGATGTTCTAGACATTTTTCACTTCTTTGGCACACATGCAACAAAGCGTGGCATCACCAAGACATGAGACCCAACAAATTTATTTTGGCACTGCCTATCAGAAAAAAAGACACTAAAATATCAGGATTTTGACCATTTTCTTGAAATTTTAGTGACATGCTGTGTTGAAAACACAGCTTATGATTTTGCAATGGTCCCAGTATGTTACTAATGCCACGGTTTATCAATTATGAACCAAAAAAGTGAAAAATGCCCAGAACATCAGTTAACGTTGAAAAACTTTGCGTAGGAGAATTTTTCAAGATACGACTGGAAATAGCAGAAAATTCCTCTTCAACTGGATTTGGGGCTAGGTATTCCCCTCCAAACTTCATATCTTACTATTTACTATAAAATACTTTAAATTTACAATGAACATACAAAGTGGGACTCAATTTGAAGAAAGTAAGATTTTCAGTAGAACCTCCCCTTAAAATGTTCTTAGCAGAAAGAAGGCAGTAAATTAATTTTCACGGGTTGGCAACTAGTTTCTCGGCGTCTGCGCCCTTGCGAAAATCGCGAAGCTGAAAGCACCAGCAGTCGCGCATTTAAACTGCCCCTCCATTGTTGCTGACGTTGAATTGTTTGGCTTGTTTCAAAAGGCTATGGTTCTCTAGTCATGTTTTCTTCAATTCTGTGTAATAGTTCTCCCTCACAACGTATCAACACACGACGGTTGGTTTGACAAACTTCATAAACTCGGGAGGGATGGTTTCGAAGCGCGGGTGAGTCTTGTTCGAGGAACATGAGCACTGCAAGTCGCGAGGTGGAGCGAAGTGGTCATTGTGCTAACTGAATCACAACAACAACAAAATTGTTTTATTGACAGAAAAAAAAGTAATATTTGAGAAACTTTATGTCAGAAAAAAAGAACTTTTGTTTTGCTAATTTTTTGTGAATATGTTTTTAGAAAGTTATCACATAAAATTGAAAATTTGTTTTATATGAATTTTTATAAGCAGGAAACAAAGAAAAAACAAGAAAGAGAGCAAAATTAATACAGATTTCAAATGCTACAGTTGGTTAAACTGTTAAACAGGTTGCAAACCTACTGCGCATGTCCAAAAACACTCCGATCAAGAAGTATTATTGGATAGTTCTACCCGAAAAACTGCGTTGGAACCGACACCAATTCCATTGTTGCATCTTTTCTACCTGCAGTCAAAGAGATTTTTCGTGTCGGACGTGCTCTTTCAGCTTTTGGAGTAACCTGTACAGACCCAAAAAGAAGCTCGGCTATTGGTCCGCCCCGGCTCGGCTCCCCCCACTCCCTTTTTTTCCCCTTGACGAGTCGAGTTTTGCCATGGAAACGGCGATTTTGACAGCAAATTTCTCAAAATTGGCCACCAACTTTTTAACCAGATTTCAGCATGAGAATCAGCGTTCAAAGTTCTACAAGTCTGCAAAGTCTCATTAAAATCGTATAGAAAATTTCCGAAATGCATAAAGGGCCACACAAATTGAATCTCGGGCCGGCTGAATCCTGGGGGTATACTATAAGGCTACTTTGTGCCTAAAAAATGACGACGGCTGGCCGCCTGCCAATAGAGTGCGCGCCTGCCAATAGGCGCCGTACGACTACCAATAGCGAGAGTCCATGCAAGAAAAAAAATTAAGTGACAGGAAAGTTCCTCTATTTGAGCAAGTGCCAATGTACTGCCTGCTGTTACGGTTGAGTTTGATGAACATTTGATTTATCATAGAGGTGGCGCGGCATCGTTATCGTTGTGTAGAGCTGTCAATAAGCGTATTTGAATTTCGTCCGCTTTGAATTTCTCATATTAAGAGACGGTGTTTTGTGTCTTGTTTGCAACAGGAGAGAGTAGCAGTTAAAAATTGTTTTGAAGGTGAATGCATTTTTAAAAAATTACTGGCTTTGCTTTTTTTTGTTGCTGTGGTTGGTTCCTCAAAATCTAGTTGATTTTCTTTATTTGGGTCCTCAGTTACATCAGTATCCAAGTCTGAGAGATCTACTTCCCCAACACTTAAAAGAAAAAAAAAGTTTCACTTCTTACCACTGCTTTAAACATAAAAGCTACTGAGAAAATATCTGAAGGTGCTTGGCATTCCTGCAAAGTATCAATAACCAAATTCTTAAGTTTAGATTGAAAAATTGATACAAAAGATGATACACCTTTGACAATACTTTGCACATAACTGCTAGGAAGTTTGGGTTTGGCATAAAGTTGGGCTACAAACTTATCAGCACTGGCTTTGAGAACATGGTTTAATGTAACAATATTTATAGGAGTGTCAGAATTAGTTACTACCACCTCTGGCTCTGGAGGGGCAAACACAGAAGAAATGTTTTCATCTACATCTATAGATGTAATAGAAGTAGCAGAGTCAACAGGTTTACTTACTTTGCCATAACATACTGTTACATGGGAACTATAAGAATTATATTTAGAAAATATACGTCCACAGTTTTCAACTTTACATACAAACATTGAATACAGATTGGTCTTATGGTCATTTTGAACGTGAAACTTCAAAGTGGGCAAGGTGTGCACCACTTTAGCATACAGGACATCAAAGACATGTTTACGAAGAGCAACGTTTATAGCTTTTAAAGTGAGAAGCTAAAAATGATTTAAGGCCCCTGCAGCCTTTGTCATCATCAGAAGATTCATGAGAATATACACAATGTTGGATGTACAGCCTAATGTTCCGAACGTGAATCGCAAACCAGCGCGTCCGAACTGACAGTTGACAGCCGCCATTACTATTCACATTCACACTCTACCATGGCCGAAAACGTAAACAAGGTGTATATTCGTTTATCTGCTGAACTTCTGCCTTACCTCTGCAACGATGGTTTAAAACGTTGGTGAGTGCTTATCATAAAAGAGTAATTTCTCCCGAGCCACACATTGCGTACGCACATGCACGCGTACGGGCTGGCCCGGAAGAAAGGACTTACGGAAAGACAATGCTAGCAGAAGACACATGTTGTTTCTGCAACCTATTTCTTCACTTTTTCCCGCATCTGACAGCTTGTTGTGGCGTTTTCTTTGATTCATCCTGTTCTCTTACATAAGAATCCTTTTTGGCCCGTCCCGTTTATTTTTTGGGAAAAAAAATGACGGAGGGACGGGCATATAGTATGATCCCTGCTGTGCGTGCGTCCGTCCGTCCGTCCGTCCGAGGACTTCCCGTGGTCCGATCTTGACCAAATTTGGTATGCAGCCTCCTTGGGTGACCCTTAGAACCGCCCGGTGGCAGCAA